TTTGCTTGTCAATGCAGGTGGAGGTATAACAACATTGAAAAGACATGGTGACTGGAAGAGCACATCGGTGGCAGAAGGATTTCTAGAAGATTCCATGTTGAATAAAAAAAAAACGGCAGATTTGAATTCCTCAATGAATCGAACAATGTTCATCATCATCAAATAACAGTTCCTTCACACAAAAAACATCAACTAGCAATATGAATAATAATGTCAGTGTTGATTTAAAAGCAACACCGACAGTAAAATTTCACGAATTGTGAGAATATCACTAAAAATTTAGTCACTAAGTACGAGAAACATAATTTACTGACCTAATAATTATTGTGTTGTTTCATCATTGAGTTCGTTGAATATTAAAGATTCCTGTCAATTGTATTATCATATCATTAAAATTCATACATCAAGTATATTATTTTCATAAATAATAATTAGATTACATTAAATTTCTGACTATCATATAGTCGTAGAGAAAGTATAGTCTTCTACTCGCGTATAATAGCTATTATTCTCTCGAATAATTCCGAAACTCGCCAACGGCTCGTTTCGGAATCATATCCTCGGGAATAATAGCTATCATTATACGCTCGTTGAAGAATATACTATTATGATATATCGTTGGAATGCTAATGGCATACTGAATCATTATATCCGGAAAAAAGTATACCTTGTATAGGATTTCAAAAAATTGGATGCGGTCAAACCGGAAGTGCCATATTTCGTCTGATACTAGCAGAATCATACACTCATGCTCATGCAATCAAACCGATGTACCAAATTTGAAAGATCCATTCAAATTAGCAACAGAGATTCAGGGGGGGGGGGGTGAATTAGTTCCGCGTCACCCAGTATAATAGCTGACAACCTACAAGTATGAATATATTTACATTTCATATGCTATTAGCAGAATATGTTGAAGGAACTACACTGAAATTAATACCACAGCACAAAAATCACTAGAAGTACAGTTTTTTTCAATGTGCACCACTAAGAACAACACAAGAAGCAGCTTTGAGTACATTATTTTGAAGGAACAAGCTTCTAGTGCTATTTATCACATGAGAAAGATTTTTTTTCAAATATGGTTCTGTTCTTCATATCGTTCATAGCGACTGTCATTTTGTTATAAAAATGTGAAAATCTTATAAAGTACAAAATAATTGCAAATCTCTATCTCCTAAAATAATAGTACATTATGTAGTGTTATGTAGCGACTATAAAGTGACTACTTATCGGGTGAGTGGAGTTTCAATAGGTCTCTTCTTTCGTGTGAAAAAAAAAATAGTTTTGTCTTCAATTTATTCAAGTTACCTATAGTATACTCAAGTTTCAATGTATTGGTAGTGTTAGAAAAATTGGCAAAATCAAATTAATGATTTCGGAAATATGCGTCGACAAACATATACCATCAAAAATTTAAATGATACTGATTTATTGGAAAAGACTTTAGCATTTGTCCATCTACTTTAAAATATACAGGGTGTTTCTTAAGTACGTGCAGAAAATTCAAGAGCATGTTGCTGACGTCAAAATAAGAAGAATATATGTCCGAAAGTTATTCGTTCCTGAGATACAAAGTGTCAAAATAAGAATCCAACGTTGACAATCTGTATCTCAGAAACAAATAACTTTCGGACATACAGTATGATGCAAATGTATGGAATAAATTCATTATTTCGGAAATGGGCGACATTTGAAGAAATTCCAAAAACACGTGTTTTAATTTTTGAAGCCTCATCTCATGACATTCATATGAGAGATTTTACGTCACCGGTGTTGGAGTAATGACGTAATGGACGGTTTTTTTAAATACAAACAGGGGTCATGTGACACCTCGTTTGAAAGGTCTACTGATCGTCTATTCAATAGTCAAAATTTTGCAAAAGAAGATTGAAATTAAAATGGATTATCATCTGGTTAACTGAATCTTGCAGAGATCTTCTACTGAGAATTGAACATCGAAGGGTCGTCTAGTTGAAAAAATACATCGATAAAAAAGTTCTGAACTCTACTTTTTGGATTTTTTTCGGAAGTCGTCTTGTTTTGAAATGAATTTATTCCATACATTTGCATCATACTGTCAGCAACAAGCTCCTGAATTTTCTACACTTACTTGAGAAACACCCTGTATATCTATCTCATATTCCAAGGAAAATAACAGTTTTCGATCTTCTTTTAGACATGAAATAGAAGGCAAACCGTTCGTGTTTGCTCTACTTGTTGAACTTTTGTTTTTTTTATACGATTTTCTCCGTTTGAATTATGCAATGAACAGAAACAACTATGGGAACAAAATCAACTTCATCAAGTTGAGCAACACAAACGAACAGCCCTAATTTTTAGTGTCTGTTTAAATTTGGCTAAGGGCCCATAATGGAGAAGACCACTGAGGGAAGAAATCCGTGCAAACCTCTTTCAATCGACGAATCATGATTTACATTTTATGTACAATCAATATTATGAGTTGAAGTTGAAGGGAATCGAATCTATATCGTTTTGAAATCAGCATATTTCATTCGATATTTCAAACAGCCAAATATGATGGTGAAGTCGTGACGTATTAGTCCCGAACTGTAGCTATCTCTCTCTGATACTTCGTAATTCTGCAGTGTTGCAGTGTAATTGGTCAGTTTAAGGACAATAGGCGTGTTGGGACTAAGACGTCGCACCAGTCACACCAATGAATTGATGAAATTTCAAATGGCGCAGGAATTGCGTGTTTTGAAATGGACATGTACTAATTTATTTTTTTCATCGTCTTAGAATGAATGAAAAAATTCAAAATTAATTCACTGGTAGTTTTTCAGTATAGAGTTCACGATAATGTCGTTATAAAAAATCAGTGGTCTTCCCCAATTCTGGTTTAAGGTTCTAATCAATGTCAGAATATCGGCCCCCTTGCAGTGTATTGAAAAGGTCAATTCAGTAACCATCAAAAAGGAATAAATACCTTATTGTATCCCTTTTTGTTTTTGAACACAAACAAAAAACACGAATACTTGTTAACCTGTATCTTAACTGAAAACTAAAAATCATTCAAATCATAGTCTTTGTTAATATTTAAACTCTTGTTTTATATTATCTGTTACTAAATGAAAAAACTTATAGCTAAAAAATACTGAGTAACAATTTCCCTCCACATGTCAAAAAGACATTAATTAGTATTTCTATGACGGCAAAAAAGTTTGAAATTTCATCTCTGTTGGCAGGTTATGAAATGTGGAAAAAAAGTGATTACTTTTTTCCCACATTTCCCCAATTTCTCGCTTATTTGACAAGATAAATGGAAAATTCGAAAACTGCATTGAATGACATTGAAGTACCTTCCTCATGACATATAAAAAAATCTATTACATCTGACAGTTTTCTGGCAGCTATTCCCCACTTTTTATTTTCAAATGGCACCCCCTGTATATTGTCATTGATAATTGCGTGCCATCCTATAAGGAATACAATGATAACATATACTTGGTATTTTTTCATTATTATAACAAAAACAGCAACATTTAATGAAGTATGAATTTCAACTAAAATAGCTTTTATGGGAATCAAAAAATGAACTAAAAATCACAGCACAGTCACAAAATGTTGATATTTTATTATCAATAGAAAATACCAAGTATACTCTATCATTGTATTCCAAATTTTATTTTCAATGAAAATATACAGGAGATGCCATTTGAAAATAAAATGTGGGGAGTAGCTGCCAGAGAACTGTGAAATATAATGAATTCTTTTATATGTCATTTGGAAGGTACTTCAATGCTATTCAATGAAGTTTTTGAATTTTTCAACTATTTTGCCAAATAAGCTAGATATTGCCTGTATACGATAACTTGGGACACCCGGTATTTACACTGTTGATGGCTTTTGTTGTGCTATAGTTCCGAAAAATAAGCCAATAACACCGTATCCCAGAAAGAACTCCTTTTATCTTCTATTCCAATCAAATCAGAATTAGACTGATGACATATGACAGGTGTCTTTGCTGTACAAAACTTAAAATTTCATGTTGGTAATTTTCTGATTTTAGTATAATATAATATCTTCTTAATATCGACTAGCCCTCTTTCCTGTCACAAAAAAAAATTGTGCATTATACACGGGAAAAATATTAGATTTTAGCTCACAGTTTTTTGTCTCCCTTCCCTATGATTAGGGAGATAACACAACCTGGAGCTAAAATCTACTACTTTTTTTCCCTTGTATAATAAATAACTATTATAAATCTGCAGATTCATCCAATCATTTAGGTCCTACTACCTTGGAAGGCTCACTAAATAAGACTGGTAATAATAAGTATAAATATTTGGTCAAGAACATACAATACTGTTGGTTTAATAACTTAAATCTTTGATTGAATAAATGCATAATTTCAACCTATATAACATGATCACAATTGATTGATATCCCATGCAAAAAAATATATTTCGAAAAAGAAAAAATCCAATCTAAAATACTTTGAATAGTCCAAACAAATGAGAATTTATTTTTCAAACTAATTAGGAGGTAGGTAACTGTTATAATAATAATATCTGAAATCATGCTGAAAAAGTGAAAAAGGATGCAAACATTTGAACCCTGAATAATTGAATTAATATATTTCAAGAATATTCTATTCCATTGGTTACCTCACCTCAGTAATTTCAAAGCAGATATTTTCCGTGCTTGTTTCAGATGAAAAATTACTGAAGAAACCCCTGAACCACAGTATATAACCTTTTATGTACTTTTATGTAAGAGGTTATAATTATACTGTGCCTGAACCATATAATATAATCTATGGAAAAAACAAAAGGTAAAGCTATATTTCATTTTGTGGCATGGTTTCCTTTTCATTATTTTCTGAACACTCAAATGAATTCAATGAAAGTTGATTGAAAAAATATCAGAACATTGTGAAATTACTTTGTTCCTAGAGAATGGAAAATCAAAATATCATCTTTGAACACCTTGGTCATCCCTTACAAATTCAAAAAAAACTCATCCATAAATAAATACTACTCATCTCCAGCCCCAATGCAGCATGAACTTCTGCTGTCAGAATGTTTCTTTGTCAAGTCTACAGTATCATCAATGACTGGATCATTTTTATCTGCTCTTGATTCAAGCCTCAACCAATGCTGTACTGCCATTTTAAATGCTTCCTGCACATTACTGGCATTTTTAGCAGAAGTTTCTATATATGATGTGATAGAATTATCATTACACCATGTCTCCATTTCAAGCAGTGGTACTTCCCTTTCTTCAGGAACTACATCAGACTAAAATAAACATCTCACTTAATTCCTAATTGTCATCTAAATTGTCATTGCTTTACCTTATTTCCTATGACAATAAAAGGAAATTGAGTGCCTTCCTTGATGTCTGCATAATACAGAAATTCATTTTTCCACATTTGAATATTTTTAAAGCTTGATTTATCATCTACTCCATAAGTCAACATACAAATATCACTTCCTCTATAAAAAGGAGTTCTCAGTGTTTTGAATCTTTCTTGACCTGCTGTATCCCATATCTATAATAGTGCAAAAAATAGAATTCAGAAAATGAAAAATTATTTGTTCAAGGTTTCAGAGGCAATTAAACATTTCATTGTGACTTTCAAGTAGAGAATATCTATAAATATTACCAGATTTAAACTTACTTGCAATGTATAAGTTTCACCATCAATATCTACATCTTTATTGAGAAACTCTACTCCAATGGTATGAAATGAATGTTCATCAAATTGGTTAGAGACAAACCTATTCATTAAACAACTTTTTCCTACACCCCCATCTCCCAGGATCACAACTTTTAACAAAGTATTTTTTGTAACTGATCTCATATTGGTCTGTTTTGAATTTGAAGTAGTCATTTATGATTCAAATACACATCTTACTGAATATTATTCTCTGTAGTTTCCAATCACTTCCCAATGTATTTTATTTCACATCAGGAAACAATACTGAATAGGTATCTATTGACATAAATGAATCATCTCCATCTATTCTGATTGCCTCTTTTTGAATAGCTGCTGATGTGATGACGAATGTATTGTGCACTTTAACTTAACCAATTAGGCAATTAACACTTTGAAAAATACAATATTTTTCAATATGAAGTAAACAATTTTCAAAAGGTGAGTCATGTCATAATTTGTATGTTGTGAACTTTTTTTGTGATCATTTTCATTAATTTTCGACGTCATGACGTCTTGTCTTGTTGTCCCACGTGATTCACAGTTTTGACATTTGGAATTGACATTGACAGTATTGACATATGGCAGATTATCGATTTTCTCTTGTGCAAATGACGTCAAAACGAGTACCTCGACAAACATTTTACCAATTTCGATTTCTGGTCATGGTTTCATTTTGAGAACTAACAAGCCACCTCTTCGTTTTTATAATCCTATATATAACCTCCTTTCATATATACAGATGGAATCCTCGATATCACTATAACATCTAAAAACATTATTTGAATATGGAAATATTCAAACTTCCCGCGCGTGGCAAAAGAAATACTTTCGGTTGAATGTCTTGCTGACAGGTGTCAGCAGCACTGCTGCGTTTTTCCATTGTTTTTACACGGGCTCCTGATTGTGATGTGAACTGAAAATTTTTGTTTCTTTTTTAAATAGGAACAAAACGTTTCCTTCCTGACGTTTGTCGAAATTTCGTTGTATTAAATACTGAAGCTATTTATCTGTCTCAATAAATATCAAATTAATAACATCGTGTGATTAATATATAAAGTGAATATATGGTTGCAGCAATCAGCAAAGTTTTACCTGAGCGAAGTCAATAAACTCTTGAGAGGAGTGCCATGAATAAATGAATGTCGTGAAAGTGAGAATTGATATTACTTAACATCTCGTTCCTTGATCAGCTTCATTAAATTGATAGCACTAATAGTGTTATTTCTGAATAATCAACGTGATGCCCAAGGAGCTGCAACAACAAAAAGGTTAGATACAAAGTAGTCTTAATTTTTTTTCTTTTCTTTATAACATCAATGTGGGTGTATTTGAGATGAGATAAACAATTGATGAACTTTTGTTGGCCCAACTAGAGTTCTGGTTTGAAATGTTTATAGAAAATAGTACTAAAGCAAAGATGCTTTGAGATTTTTATGATTTGAGATGGCATCCCATCCCAAGGTGAGCAATAGTGTAAGTACAGTCATTCATCAAATCAGAATCACCATCTCTCTTTCTCACATTATTATTATATATACACAAGATACACTAGTTGAAAAAGTCAGTGGTGACAGGTATGCATGGCGAGTGTACCGTATGAAGGTCGCGACACGGCCGGTCATGTGACGTTACAGGGCCGGTCCAAGGACGTTCATGCACCCCATGTTGTTTTTGTAAATATCCACCTGTTCAGAACGTGGACGCGACTGACGCGAGGCTCCGTTTGGAGGGATTTCGGAGGTTTTGAACAACTTCTCAATTGTCGAGTCCAAACGGTAAAACTGCATTTATCATGCGATGGTTGTTTTTTCGAAATTTTTTTTGGTACTTACGTATTTTTGTCTGAAAAATACGCATTTGATAATTAAAATGTGATCGAACCACTATTTATCTAGATATTTCAAGAAAAAGCTCGAAATTTTGCCTTCTCCCTCCCCTTGTGTTGGGGGCATTTCTAGTTTGTGTTTCATTACTAATTGGAAATATTTCAACCATAGAATCCCGAACTCAAAATATGAAGATTTAACGAAATCACCTAGATAAAATATGTATCTTGTCTGAGTTACAGGGTGTTTTATTCAAAAATTTTGAAATGTTTTTTGCCCAGTTCTTCAAAACTATTTGACGTATCACTTTCATATTTGGACAGAAGTGTAGGTATTATACATCTAACTGAATTATGTGAAATGAACTTTTCTAGCTATCACCAGAGGCGTACGACAGGGGCAAGTGACTGGTTGATCATTCCTAAATCCTACGCCACTGGCGGAATTGCAATTTTATCAGAATTTTTCGATTCTTCAATACCTTCTTCGTAAATATTGTACTCTTTCTTCATAGCGATAAAGTCATTATTTTCCGAGATATTTCAAGTTAAACATGAAGCAGCACAATTATTTTGATTTTAATGTGTATCAATAATGTCGATATTTTGGATCAATGGACAGCTGCATTAATCAATCAAATGAAACTTCAATCCATACTAATATAAAAACATAACAGACGGGAGCTGTTACAGGGCGTTTTGAATTTTTAAATATATTACATACCTGTTACGGCTCCTGTCTGTTATGTAATTATGTTTTCATTGTTAATATGGATTGAAGATTCATTTTATTGATGAATACAATCCATTGATCCAAAATATTGACAAAATTAATGCACATCGAAATCAAAATGATAGTGCAGATTTATGTTTGACTTGAAATATCTCGAAAAATAATGACTGTATCGTCATGGGGAACGAGTACAATATCTACGTTAAAATTGTTGGAGAATCGAAAATTTGTGATAGAATTGCAATTCCGCCAGTGGCGTACAATTTGGGAGGGATCAACCAGTTAATTGCCCCTGTCGTACGCCTCTGGTAATAGCTAGAAAAGTTCATTTCACATAATTCAGTTGGGTGTATAATACCTACACTTGCCTACAAATATGAAAGTGATACGTCAAATAGTTTTGATGAACTGGACAAAAAACATTTCAAAATTTTTGAATAAAACACCCTGTAACTCAGACAGCAGACATATTTTATCTAGGTGATTTGGGTTTAATCTTCATATTTTGAGTTCGGGATTCTATGGTTGAAATATTTCCAATTAGTAATGAAACACCCTGTATATCTCACAATATTTTGGGTAAAACTGCATTTAGCATGCGATGGTTTTTTTTTCGAAAATTTGTTTTGTTACTTACGTATTTTTGTCTGAAAAACACGAATTTGATAATGAAAATGTGAACAAACCACTATTTATAGAGATATTTCAAAAAAAAGTTCGAAATTTCGACTCTTTTCCCCTTGCGTTGGATGCATTTACCAGGTACTTGCTCTTCTTATTTTGTCATTGGACACTTTATATACTCATGATGTACTTCAATAACACATTTTTATACAGAAAATTCAACAGGAAATATGATTTTCATGGTGATTTTTTCCTATTTAGTGAGCAAGCATACTAGATGACGGCCATTTTATCCATAGGCAATCCAAATACGAGATGTCAAATGCACGTCAAATGTCAATAGATTGCTTTGGAATGACATTACACACACCATTATTTCAAATGATATTCTTCCTTCTTTTCAATAAATATGGATAAATCACAAGAAAATCATATTTCTAGTTGACTCAATAATAGAAAAAAATGTGTCTTACATTGTGATATACCGGGTGTCCCAGTATACCTGTTCCAATGAATTATCTCAGCCATTTCGAAAAATAAAAATTCAAAAATTTCTTGATCTCCGATTCGTTCAAGGAAGCTTAAACTGGGAAAAACAAAAATTGAAAGTCACTTCGGGTTTGACCGGAAGTGACTCTAACTTTTTTTATTTCAAATAGCACCCTGTATATTTTTTGCGATTTCTGATTTCTACTCAAGATTACCTTTCCAACGATGTATCACACTTTGTATTTTGAATTTGATTTGATGGAGAAAACGACAATTGAAATTTCAAATTGAAGGAATTGCAGCAGGCTACGATATTTTTGTAATCTTGATTTTGACTTCAATAATAGTTTCAAATCATTAAAATTGTAGTAGATCATGTAATTCCCAAATTTTCATCTTTTGAAATGACTGAGATAATCTATTGGAACAGGTATACTGGGACACCTGGTATTTAAATTGTCCAATGATGAAAAAAGAAGGGTAAATTGTTTTAAATTCAATCCAGAAGAGAGGCGGAAAAGTAGGTGGAATTTGTAACTTTATATTGAAATATCTAGACAAATAATGGTTTGTTCACATTTTCATTATCAAATTCGTGTTTTTCAGACAAAAATACGTAAGTACCAAAAAAAATTTTCGAAAAAAAAACCCATCGCATGCTAAATGCAGTTTTACCATATTTTGTTAGTGGGGTTATTTTTTGCCACTTTTCGATAGAAGCGGAATGTAGTTGGCGTTGGCTCCAATGTTTTTTCATAATCCGGCTCTGGCGACTTACAGAGCCTCTGTTTCGTTTTCAAAGGGCTACCCTGTATAGACTGTCTTTGGTTCGGACCCGGCCCTGGTTCACCTGTCCCGAGAGCTTCAAAAGAGCAATGTCGCCTCTGAATCCTTTGATAATGATTACTAGCCACTGGTTGAAATCTTCCTTCACCAGCGAAGTGCGAGCTACATAACATAAACACCACAGACACAGAACGCAGAATTACTCTGTTGTTAGTTGTTAGCCGCCGCTCACACGACACGCTTCTTTCTCCGTTGCTTTCCGTCCCATTGGTCCCCAACCCAGTCCCAACGGAACATTTTCATTTTATAAGCTCGGCCGAGAGGCAACTAAAGCTGCGACAATAGTCCGCGTTTACGTCCGTCAGGTCAGAAATTATATAGAGTGTGTTCGAGTTGACTAGTTCCAATAGTTCGTGTTTTCCTAAGTTGTTTTCTGGTGCTTGTTATCAGTGTTGGTTGGATGTGAAATTCGGTGACCTTGGGACGCCGCACGTGACCGAAGGGCCTTGACCTTTGCTACCCCTCCCCTTTTCATCCAAGACAGCTGGGCTGGCGCTGGGTGAGTTGATGTGTTGATGAGTTCTTCGGAGTTCATTCTTCTGGAAGGATAGGCCATAGGCCATTATTTATCCTGCGTTCCTTTTTGACCTAACCCAAATCCGAAACAAACAATGAAATCAAGTTTATTATGGATATTATGAATTATGATTGATTCAG